TGTCCCCTTAAAGGAATGCATCATGGTAAATGTAGTTAAAGGTATCCTGGGAAATGTAGTTCATGTCACCTGGCCACATCTGGAATCCCAATTGGTCACTAATTTGACCCTTAATGGGTTGGGGGAGGTTTTCCTCACTTTTGTTTGAACTCTCTAACTCATGGCAGCTGCTTTCTATCGCTACGAGATGGGTTAGGAGATAACCATCTTTTACTACGAGGCAGATATGCAAAGGATTGGTCATTAAAGAAGAACTTCATCACAAATGTGAGTTATGAGGATACCTGATGAACCAATAAATGTACTTTGTTATGGACATCTCGTTGATTTATCTACCTGCATCTGCACAGCTTAAAAATCCACTACTGTGCAGAAGACAGAAAACAGGCTTCCCTCACTATCTAGAATGCAATCCTAAAACACTTTAAAAAGATAAGAAAGAGCTATCAACAATGTAAATATCTGTCTGTAAATGTGCATAATATAAGAACATTTAATTTATGGAATACACAAACCTGAAAGAAGTGCAGTATGGGGCTGCAGTATTCTGATCATGGAAGGAGGTCCAAGAGATATTTTATTTGCAAGGTTATTAGGGGATGAAGTATTTAAAACACACAAGCAATTTATCAATATTTTTATACTGAATTTACTGCAGTTGTTATTGTTGCTCTTGATTTGTAACTTAGCCAGTGTACAGCTTTCTATGTGGCTTTGAATAATGTTGTGTTGTACTTTTTATAATTTAACTTTTAAAATCATATATATTAAATGACAGTACATTGCCTAGAGAACTCTTGCTTTACAATTGATCAATGGCTAAATGCAAACTTTGAAATAAGAAACCTTAGGGCATTTAATACAGAACATAAATTCTGTAACAAGGCCCAAGTGGTGCAAACAGCACGCTGTGGATCAAAAGTAAGTTGACAAAATGAGGTGACAGATGATGGAAGGCCTTTACTACTTGTTGTCTTCTCCACAAGATTGCAAATCACCACTTACAAAATGTCAGATCTACTTGTGTTACGGAGCTTCAAACAGTATGGCTATTCTGTGAGAGAGACAGATTTCCTTTTTTCTTCTTCAGATAGTAAGAGAAATATTGTGACAGGTCAGAAAGTATGAAATGCTTGCGGAGAAAAGGAAGAGTAGTAGGACAATGGAATCTGAACTGAACTAAGAAAGAAATGCTCACAGATTTCTTAAAAAGAAAAAAAAAAGTGTCATGTGTTAAAAAAGCAATTCTACCTTTAACAGGCAAAAGGCATTTATCTACCTGCATCTGCACAGCTTAAAAATCCACTACTGTGCAAAAGACAGAAAACAGGCTTCCCTCACGATCTAGAATGCAATCCTAAAACACTTTAAAGAGATAAGAAAGAGCTGGAGACCTTGACTGGAAGCGCTATTGCCTTCATTCTCCGCATGAAGATTTCCTAGCAATCTGCTCACCATTTACAGGATACCAGTCAGGACAGGGGGCCTTGGGTTGCCCTGACATTCCTTTTCTTCCATGCCATGTCTGAACATTGAGGATGACAGATGTGAGAGTTAAGATCTCTTCTGATATCAAGGCAGAAAGCTTTAAAGATGACTCAGAAGAAAGTTTCATCAACTGTGGTATACCACTGTTCCAAAAACAAAGAAAAAAAAGGTGTGACTTTTAACTTTGGGCACTATTTGGGAGAAAGCCTGAAAACAAGCAAGTCTCTACTCCAGGCCAAAACAAGCAAACAAATGCAGATTTATTGCAGAGATGGGAACTGATTCATATGCTCTGAGATGCTCAGAGCCACAGCCCTGTTTTGAAAAGTGCACCTTTCCTCCCCTGGGCTTCCAGGTGCATGCTTTCTTCCCTTTCTCAGCCAGGGAGAAATACTGGTTATGGCACTCCTCACCTTATTTCCCCCACTCGTTCTTGAGGGTTAGATTAAAGATAAATTAAATATTAAACAAAAGAGAAAATGGGATACCAGGCAAAATATTTTTGCACAAATCCCACCACTTGTACAGAAAACTAGGATAGAGGAAAAAAGAAAAATATGGCACATAAAGAAGTGAGAAGACGCACCAGGTGTTAGAAAGGCCTGTTGGTTTTGGCGGCAAGTAATGTTGGTAAAGAAAGACTGAAAGGCAGGTGGTCCATTTAGTCTGCAGTCATATGAAGATTTGGAATACAGCACTTGTGTTTAGTTACTCTGGCTATTTCTAGTTTGCTTGGTTTAGCAATCATGGTGCAGTTTCAAATTACACACTTAGAAAATGTGGGCTGATACCTTTCCTGATAAGACAGTAGGATGTTCTCTAAACCAGGTTTGTGAATGTGAATGTTCTAGTGTGCCATCTCTCACTTACTGGATGTTCAAAAGTGAGTCCTAGTGCAGACCTCATGACATAAACTACTGACCTAGCGTTTGGAGTATCTTGCTTCTTCCCCATCTGGAGAAGACTGTAGATCTTTGTGTGCTATTTTGGTTTATGTCATGGTACAAAGTATTACACAATTATAGATTGGGGATTATTTTCTCTGGGAAGTTGCCTAATCCTTTTTAACAGGCATTCTAGTTTGGTCGTCATATTTATTAGTTTGCGAAAGTGCTTTATACAGTACTGCAGGGATCTTCAAACTTGGCAGTTTGAAGACTTGTGGACTTCAACTCCCAGAATTCCTCCTCCAGTCATGTTGGCTGAGGAATTCTGGGAGTTGAAGTCCACAAGTCTTAAACTTGCTAAGTTTGCGGACCCTTGCAATACTGTCTTTTCACTTGAGTTTACTGCTTGTGTGAAAAGAAGAGTCAAGAACTGAAGCTTTAGGAAGTGTTGCCACAAAGAAGAGGGAGTCAGGCTGACAAAGCACCTGAAGGCAGGACAAGAAGCAACAGATGGAAACTAATCAAGGAGAGAACCAATCTAGAACTAAGGAGGGGTTTCCTGAATTAGAACAATTAATCAGTGGAACAACTTGCCTCCAGAAGTTGTGAATGCTCCAACACTGGAAGTTTTTAAGAAGAGATTATTAGACAATTATATGTCTGAAATGGTATAGGATTTCTTGCCTGGGCAGGGGGTTGGACTAGAAGACCTTCAACATCCCTTCCAACTTTGTTGTTCTGTCTTGGTCTGGTCTAGTCTTCAGTGCAGCACTTTCCCCCTCTGATACAGGGAATAAAATGAAAGCAAATATGATCTGATAAGCACTTAAAAAATAAAGCTATAATGAAAGGATCTGAGATGCAGCTGGGAATCCTATGGCCATGGTCATCCTTGTAAATCTAAGTAGGATTACAATTTTAACATCTGTTGCCTAGGAAGATAGCACTACCGTGTACAAAACATGTACTGGAATGTGACAGTCTGAAAATTAATTCTGAAATTAATAGGTGTCTCTGCTGTGACAAGAACTTTTAGCAGACAGCAAGCCATTCTTAAATGTTTCATGACAGAGATCTACTTTGGTTGCATTCTGTGTTTGTTCCCAGAAAGATGCCTTTAGGTCCATTTGAACTTAAATAAAACTTATTTACTTTATACTGCTTTTAAACACAAGCACACTTTGCAAGTTGATTTGTGCTGAGCAAGGCATATGTCTGCTGACTAATTTCATTGGTCATTATGAGGAAGTAAAGACAGTTGAGTGCCAAAAGTAGTATAGCATTTGTGTAAACAATTTTAGGAATGTGGCCTAAGACTAAATTCTTAGTCAGCATCCTTATTGTTTGCCAAGAAATAATTAGGCTGGAGGAGAGCTGAATCTATCTTTGCCCAAATACATTCTCCATACATACAAAACCAGGGGAGAAAAATCTAGAAATTTAAGCCAACTTCAGGTAGACCTTTGCATTGGTTAGCTTAGTGTAGAAAGGATAGTGGATTGCACTAGCTTTAATTTAATTTACTTTAATCAAATGACTTTCTTCTGAGGCAAGATGATTGAACAATAGAAGACTCCAGATAGCATGTAGTATAGCCATATTTTGCTTACCTATAGTTTACTTGATTGGGGCCACAGAACACCTAAATTGCAAGGCATGGTTTACAAACTGTGTGTTCACATACTGTGTTAAGTCAGAACCAGGAAGATCAGACAAAGGCTTAGTGGTTGTGCAAACTTAGGCAGATGTACAGTACTTGAACTAGAGCAATGACCAAATTCGGCTTTCAGGTGCAGGTAGTCCTTGAGTTGCAACCACAATTGAGCCCAACATTTATGTTGCTAAGTGAGTTTTTGTTAAGTGAGTTTGCCCCATTTTACGACTTTCCAGTTAAGTGAATGTTGCAGTTGTTAAGTCAGCAACATGGTTGTTAAATAAATCTGCCTTCCCTGTTGACTTTGCTTGTCGGAAGGTTGCAAGAGGGGATCTCATGACCAGTGGTGGGATTCAAAAATTTATACTAAGGATTCTGTGGGTGTGGCTTGGTGGGCATGGCACGGAAAGGATACTGCAAAATCCCCATTCCCTCCCCACCCCACCAACCTGCTTTCCAGCTCTGTTCTCCTGTACAGGGCAACAAAAGAAGACCCAGTCAGGGAGGCAGAGAATAGATGGGGATGGGGCCAGTCAGAGGTGGTATTTGCTACTCAAAATTTCTGCTACCGGTTCTCCAGAACTGAGCAGAACCTGCTGAATACCACCTTTGCTCATGACCCCAGAACACTACAACCATCACAAACATGAGCCAATTGCCAAGCATCTGGACTTTAATCACATGTCCATGGGGATGCTGCAATGGTCATAAGTGTGAAAAATGGTCATCAGTCCCTTTTTTCAGTGCCGTTGTAACTTTGAACTTTGGTCGCTAAATAAAACTGTTAAACTGAGGACTGCCTGTGTGGAGGAAACCCGAGATGCCACTGGTTTCAGAATTCCTTCCAGGGTGGGTTTTTTTTTTTTAAAAAAAAAGGGGGGGTCTTATTTTCATCTATTCCATACATTTCATATAGCACCGAGTCCTAGCAGAGGTTTGGAGAAAAAGTCCCCACCCACCCACCCATAATGCCGTTAATGCTCCACAGTCGATTTACCGTGGAGATCTCTGAGGGGGCCCCCGTGGCTTGGCCTCCGTGTAAAAACACGTACAGGTGTTCCGGAAACCAACGGGCAAGGTCTCCAAACCGGTTCAATTTTTGCTTGCCGATTCAAGCCAGCCAGACCGCCCAAGAAGGCGGGCAAAGCGTTCGCCGGGTTTCTCCCCCGCCGTGAAAGGAGCCGCCTTCTTCCTGCAGGAGCTCTGCGGTCGAGAAATCTATCCCCCCATTTCCCTCCCGCCCGCCCGAAATCGACGCCGTGAAATCGAGGGAGGCCGGTCGGCCGGCTGGGGATTTCGTCTCCGTTTCGGCTTTTGGTCTGCCTAGGCCACCATAGTCTCCGCGGAATCCGGCTGGTTGGCTGGCTGGCTGGCGGGGCCGGCGCTGTCAAGAGCCAGGCGAGCCCCAGAGGGGGAATACTCACCAGGGGAGGCAGGCGACAGAGGGGTCGCCGAGAAGAAACAGCTGAGCGAAAAAGGAGGAGGAGGAGGAGGAGTCCAAGGAGAGGGACGATCCCGGGGCTGGAGCCCAGGCTCGGCGGGGAGGCGGGGATCGCTCTGGCAGCCTTCCCGGCACGGGTGATCCGCCGACTTCGCCAAAGCCGTTGCTGTCAGCGGGCGTGAAGAGCGAGGCGGACCGGCTGAGAGCGAGCCAGCAGCCTCGAAAAGCGAGGGAAGGCAGCCCTTCATTCTGTCCTCCCCTCGCCTCCTTCGCTTATCCCCCAGCTTAGTGGGAAGCTCCCCAGCTTCCCCTTGCAGCTGGAGGGCTCCTGGTGGCCCCCGCCTTCCCCCTTTTGGGAAGCCCGCAAAGCCAAGCCGTGCCGAGCCGGCTGGAGAAGAAAGGCGGCAGGGCGGGAGAGCCGGGAAGGCAAGGGGGCTTTTCTGAAGGCGACCGTGACTCGCGAAAGGACGAAACCCGGCTGCATGGACGAGAAACTGGGGGAGCGGGCTTGCTTTTTTTCCCTCCTCCCCCCCACCCTTCCTCTACGGAGCGCCGGTGCCTGCTTTCCAAGGTAACAAAGGTTGACCGCCCGCCCCTCTTTTTATCTCCCCCTTCCCCGAAGAGGCTTCTTTTAAGGCGAGAAGCTGCGTTTCGTGGTTTTTCAGGCAGAAAACGGGTCTGACTGAATTACTGGCGGATTTCTCCATCCCCGCCATCCTATTGTTGGCCTGAAAAAGCTGGAAGGGCTTCTGCATTAGTGTTATTATATTCGACCTCCCTTTGTGCATTCCTCGCCTTCGCGGAGGGGAAAGCGGGTTTTACGCAAACTTCTGTTCGGCAATCTCTGTCCGGTTCCTTTAATTGACTTCACAATCATTGAAGGGTGGGTTGTTTGTTTGTTTGGGTTTTTTTTTTGGTGGTGGGTTTTTTTTTGAAGCTCTGATATTCTTGGCTGTCCGTGATTCTCTTTTTAATGCGTAAGTGAAGTGTTTGCAGCAGTGAAATCGCCTTTAGGCTTAACAAATGCCCACTGTATTAAAAGCTGAGCTCAAAACCCAAGAGTTGATCGAATTGCCAACGGTATTGGTTTACTTGGATTAGGTGTCTGATTTCTGTTTCTTAAAAGGGTAATCCTGAAGCATTTGCAACAACGTAACTGCGTGTTGTTAAACTCCACGCAGAGTAGGTACGGAGGAATTTCCTCGGAAATTTGCAACGCGCTCATCTTTAAAATAAGGATTCTCCTGCCAAGTATTCTGGTTTGACTATTAAGCTACGTTTAGAAACATCTATAATTAACGACATCGGGAATTAAGGAATTCCGTTTTCTAGATTTGCCTGGCTTTGAGGTACAGATTAAGATTAGATTAAACTGGATTTGGACCGCATGTTTTGGTGATATGTGGTTGATGGGTTTGTGGTTCGGTGTCTGAACTTGTCCATACAATTGTTAGGAGCAGTGGGCTGTCTTCAAATTTTGATCTTTGTATTACAGTCACATGCACACACCCATTTTTAAAACAGCCACGTTTTGGAAACTCTGTAGGCACTGTGGGAATGGTGGTGACTTTACATGAATTCTGAAAAAGATGCTTGTAAGATTGTATAATTGGTTCACCTTGTTCTCTCTCTCCCCCCCCCACCCTTTCGTTTCTCAAAGGTCCATATTGATCTTGGTCTTTTGAACTAAGAAGAACTGTGTAGCCATATTGCAGAGTGATGTGTCCTGGAGTGGAAGCCCTATGATGAAGTGAAAGAAAGAAAGTGTGGAGTCTCCTGAAAGTGATGTGAAATCCAGCCCTCCAGAACTTCTTTGTGGAAGGCATTTGAGAGGGGACTGTGTTTTCTCCCCACTTAAGACTATGATGTCGGTTGAAGGCTCTACAATAACGAGCAGAATAAAAAATTTACTTCGGTCTCCCTCTATCAAATTGAGAAGAAGCAAACCAGGGACCAAGCGGGAAAATATCAGCACTAAGGCAAGTTTGGCAACTGGGCCTTGTCTCTTTTGTTAGCATTCTTCACATGATGGTTGCATTGTGTTGCATTTGGTGGTGGTGAAGATGATAGCAGAAGTTGTCATACCTGCTTTCTGAAGTGGGTGTATAATACAGATGGGAAAGTCTTGATTGCTGCTTTGAAGGTACCTAAAGGTTGGCTTTCTAAAGCCAGCTAATACTGGAGGGGATGTTGGGCTAGAACAGGGTTGCCAAACTCTCGGCCCATGGACCAGATGCGTCATGCGCTGGCCATGCCATGCCCGGTTTAGCAAAGGGAGGGGGGGAAGTCCTGATAAGTCACGTGACACCGCCATGACGATGTGAGTTTGACATCCCTGGATTAGAAGAAGTTGAAGCAAGCAAGGGGACGTTCAAGAATGTGACCGCATTGAAAAGGGGGAGTTATTTGATTTTTTTTCCAGCAATTTCAAGTTGTCCTGTTCCTAATGGATTCTGGGCTGCAAACCATAAAACAGTAACAAAACCATTAAAACCAAGCAACAGACATAGTATGGATTCCTATAAGAGCCATCAAAAGTTTTGTGCTTTTTCCATGCAGAAATGAGTACTAAGTGTCTGCTTAGCAAAATTTTAATTTGTGTCTGCTTGAGCAAAATTTTAATTTGTATATCTTGTGCTTTTGGGATTGCTTCTGAGGAGCAACAGGTGTCTGATAGACAGCCTAATGCTGTTTATTACTTGGCACACGACAGCTTCATTTTAGCTCAGGCTTAAAAGGAACTAAACATTCTGGCAATACTTCCTTGAAATACTGCTATTGGGAGTTGTGTGACTTCCTTCTTTATTTGGCATTTTTCAAATAATGGACTTTTGCCTAATACCCCTCCCCCGCCCCATTCTGTGACTTTTTCTTATTGGTCTGAGAACACCTATGGAGAGAGACAACAATTATTTTGTTTTCTTTTAGGAGATAATATTTAATTTGTGTACTCAATATAAGGGAGGACTCAGCTTGACCATACTTTGAGTAACCATTAAAATATGAGTCTTGGAGGCCTACTTACCCAAGAGCTCAGCCATTGCCTAAGCACATGCCTTTGCAGAAAAAATAGCAAATACATTCATTTTTGCATCCAAAAATTAAATATAATTGCACATAATTATAAGTAATCACTTGAGCGTTTGCTTAAAGCATGTGATACTAGCCGAATTTGAGTCTATGAAGAAATGTGGAGAAACCTCACTAGGTGAGAGGATTTACTCCAGAAGATTGGAGCTGCTTTTGTAATTTTGTAATGATTAAGACATGGTGGAATTTAAAACTGTGTAGGAGTATATTATAAATATTCATTGGGGAAATAATCTCCAACATATGATAGTTAAATCAGCATCCATCTCATATAGCCTGCTTTGTAAATGAGTGGTATAAGAGGTAGACAGAGCTATATTATGGGATTGGGGTCCTTGAGGAAATCAACGCATTCCTTCCTTCCCTAGCTATTGATCACTTGGCCCTTTCTAATAATACCTGCTACCGACAGGTAAACATGACTTATTAAAGGTTGTCTTACCATAAAATACTAAAATACAGGTAGTTCCCAACTTATGACCATTCATTTAGTAACGATTTGAAGTTACAATGGTACTGAAAAAAGTAACATGTAAACCAGTCCTTGCACTTAGAACCATCACAGTGTCCCCATATTGAAGGGTGTAGGAAAACTATTTGTATAGTATTGGCAATGAGAAACAAATTTAGAAACATACACTATGTATGCCTTATACATTATTATTATACCTTCAAGTGCTGTTAACAGCTTTTTCCACCTTAATTCTGCTCCTCACATAACTTATAAAATACAAATGTATGGCAACAGGATGGTTCAAATAAATATAGCTGGTTTCTACACACTAAGAATATAATTTATCCCATTCAAGATGCAATATTTATTTTATAACCCTTATGGGGGAAACATAGCTTCTTTTAAATCACATTTTTTTTCCTCAGGTTGTCATATGTGAGTACATTTTTGTTCAGGATGTGAATTGAATGATTGTGTCTTTATCAGGAAAAAAAAGGAAGTCCTGCCAATATACCGCTTTGGTTTTAGAGAAGATGTGGCTCGAAAAATACTTCCAGATTTGATTGATTTCAAGTTATTCTGGCTTGGGCTTGGTAACAGCATTTTCTCTGTGTGTATTCTTTCTTGGTGTCCAAGTGCTGGGGCTTGTTTAGAAAATGGGCTGAGCTGCTTTCTAATTAATGGCTCGGTCTGCAGTGGCAAACTTCCCAGTCAATGTGGTCCTTTTTTTTGTCTAAAGATTTTTTTGAGAAACCTGTTGGCAGGCCTGAGGGACTCAGAGAAGGAAGATAAAGTGTAATGCTGAGGCCAGCTGGCTGCCTTCAACAGTACTGTCCTGTAATCCTAAGAAGCGAAATGAACTAGGATTGCGCTTCTGAACCTAGCTTAAACTGGATTGTTCAATGACTACAGTGACTCCTGTATGATTAAACTGCAAGAAATGGGTGTTAATTGAAATAAACCCTTTCAGGCTAGTTGAAAATGTCTGAAAAGCTGCTTTTGATCAGAGTAAGTCAACCTCCTGAAAGTACGTCAGCGGTTTGGAAAGCAAATTTTCTGAAGTCTCAGAGCATTTCAAGCTGTAGCATGGTCCTTCCCAGCCTGGTGCTTACCAGATGTGTAAGATTTCAGCTTTGATAGCTCCTAGCAAGCATGGTTCTTTGGAAAAATTGGCAGCTTTGATAGGTACCGCTTTTAAAACACTGTTTTAAAGCAAAGACTCTCTAAGTGTAAACCATGGTTCCTTCTCCACAAAGTCAAGAAACAGAATGTGCTTCTAAAGCCCTTTCTGTATTTCAAGATGTTTTATTGGGCCTGAAGTCCTCATTGTATCTCCAGTTCTCCTTCTAGGCCTGTTTGTAATCTGATCTATAATTACAGCTGGATGAGATAAGTGTCCATGGAGAGGTCAGGACACAGACTTGAGGGAACTGGTAGAATTTTTTTGACTATTTCTTTTCAGTTGAAAGATAAGTGTTATCATGCGCCTAGTCCATATGGCTTTTCCCTCCTCTGAATTACAGTATTTTAAAAATTTTATATGGAGGGGGCATTCCAAAATTGTGCAATTCCCCCACCCCCCCGGCTAAAGAAATACATTTTATACTGCAGGTAAACGTATTGGTGTAAAAAAACAATTACGCAGGTGGCAAAAGTCTGTCATTCAACTAAGTGAAATTCCATATTTTTCATTTTTTCATAGATGTGGTAAACTTTACATTCACAGTGTTTTATTTCTCAGACACATCATAGTTATCAACCAGAATAAAAAAGAAAAAAAATCCTGGCATATTTTGTCACTCCATCCAGCAACCTTGTTGATATTTCCATGTATAGATTGCCTTTGAGTTCAAAATGTGATAGCCATGGGTAACTTTCTTAAGAACTCTCAAGGCAATTTATATTTACAGCAGCTCACTCATAAATGTAAAGCTTGCAAATACCTAAAAGTGCAACAAGGGCCTGCCTTACCATCTTAGTAAAGAAGTACTATAGGATGTCAAAGTATTAGGAGTAGGAAACCAAAATCATAAATGCTAATGCTCCTTTTATTATAAGGCTACAATAACAGAATCTTCCATGCCTGAAGTACATCTTCCTTCTCCCTTTATCTTCATGAGAATAGGCAGGATCTTAATCTCTGAGGTACTTGCTTGCAATATAGTTCTGCCCCAGATTCAGATTTCTTTTATTTCCCCATTGTCTTGGTAACAGTTCTTCCTCCTGTGCTTAAGATTATGCACATTACAGAGTCTTTGACTGAATAAATGAATAAAAGTACCTGTTTTCCTGAAGGAAACCGGGAGTGTCACTGTCACAGAACCATCAGATACCAGAGCTTCATATCTTTCCAACTATCCTAAGAATGTGGTGGCAAACTCACCAATAACTGGAAAGGATCCAAATTATAATTTGTTTTCAAAGCTAGTAGGTTATATTGATACCAATAAAGGAGAATATTTGTAGCTCCAGGTTGAAATGAGGGATCCTTGGTGCCCTGGAGCTTGATTGTTTCCTTACTTTAGGTAATAAAACGTCTTCAAGGAAACAACTAAACTCAGAGAGTACCAAGGAGATTATATTGAGTCACAATTGCAACAAAGAACTCACAGCAAGAACTTCAAGGTTACACCGATCTTAAGTAGCCAAGGTCCTTTGGATACAATTGGTGGGAGTTGTGAAAGTTGTTTTTACTTAATAGAATGGAGAGAAAGAAAAATTGGAATAAAATATGGAATAATATCAAATTTTCTACAAGAGGATTTTTTTTGATATAAGTATCAATGTATTATATGTATAACATTTTACACAACATTTCAATAAAATGTTATATTTCATTTTAATTATCCATCAATAAACTGTATCTAATAATCGGATATAAAAAGTTGATCAGAGCAGTACAAATACGCTAACATCATAGAATTTAAATTCCCTTTGAATTTCAAAGGGAACAATTTTCAACGGATGTCACTAACAGGTAAAGTTGGTGGTGTGAGGGAGTAGGGGTGGGAGATCAAAGTGTAAACAGACTACAGGAACATCATTTGAAAGTTGCCACCAGTGGGGCAACTTTCATATGAAGGTGGTGTCAAACAGTTAATTGTTATGTTAACACAGTGATATTGAGTAAATTGTGAAAGAAGAAATGGATGTAAGAGAGACAGGGATCACTCATTAAGGGCATGCATTTTGTTAAGGGCTATGTGGAATAATTAACAAAACATTCACACAGCAATTAGAAGTGTTAGTTCTAATTTTGCCACCAGGCACAGAAAATAATATGCCAGTATTAGAAATTTCAGAACTCCAGACATAGAACTCATTGTAATTATATTCAGGTTCTTTCACTATACTTAGGTTATCCTTCCAGTGAATTTTGTTTGAAGGATTGTAGGCTGATGACAGGATAGCTGTAATTTATACTCCCTTGCTGTG